TAATACTAGTCTAGTAGTAGTCTATTATAATATAGGAATAGCGTTTAAGTTGAATTTTTTAGTGGTAATATGTAACAATAAGTTGTTTTATTAATTTTAGTTATAAATTTAGAATATGTTAATACATTTATAAAATTTAAATTAAACAGGAAAACGCACTATGGGTATTCCAGCAATTGCAAATAATATGTTATAAACTGTATAACTAAATGCATTTGCCTACGAATATGTGATATAATATTTTGTATGAACAAGTTTTTCTTTTACTGCATAGAGTGAATGAGTAAATAAATAAATATTGTATAAATGAACAATTTTYAAATGAATATAGTAACTAAATGATTTTTCATAATATTAAATTACATAATTTATTTTCTCCATGGGGCGCATGGGCCATGGCTAGGTATATCGTATATTAAAATAAAAGTTATTTACCTATAATTATATAGGTATATATTTGTATATTTTTAAATTAATTTTGTCCGATTTAATATTTTTATTATTTATATTAACTTTAATTTTCCCAATGGCCAAGTTGCCGAGGGTTATTTCTTAAAAAAAATAATTTTAATTTGTTTTTAGTATTGTTTCAAAATAACTTTTATACTGTTATCAGACGTTTTGAACAAAATTTAATTTTAAATAACATAATTTTGTATTTTTTGACAGAAATAGGTAAGAGAATTAAATGAATTAATAATCATCAATAATTTTTAAACTTTGAGGAATCAAAAAATGTTATAAATTATAATAAAAGAAATTACGAGTCTACCTGCAACGCGTCACTTAAAATGTTCTCGGATGCAATTTTGAATAWTACATATTTGTATTAAAATAATATTATCAAATATTCATTTCACTTATCAAAAATACATCGTCTTCAAGTGTAATGTAATACTGCAAGTAATAACACACGCGATATTAAACTTTACGGAGTTCAGTGAAAATATACAAAGATGATTGGAAATATAATTTACTTATGATCAATTTTATCATAGGTCTATTATACGCTTAAATGRGTTTTTTTGTTAATTTGTATTTTATAGCAGATATTTTAAGAAGAATATAAAAGGAATTATTATATTACATTTTTGATTACTGAGTTACCTACCCTCCTTCCCGCCACCAATGTGAATTGTTGAAAAAAAGTAGAAAAATAAACTAGTAGGTAGCGTTAATTCACTAAAAGTGAGTGGATTCTTGAAAATTTATTTTTTCATATTTTATCAAGCTTAAAAACTCGGTTTACGTGAAAAGGTTGATTTTACATGGCACCGAAATATTGTACTGTAAAGCTATATCATACTAAAATTAAATTTCTTATTTGAATCTTGAAGCGAGATCATCGGCAAGATTTTAACATTGAGCGTGGCTTCCAGTATCGCCGCTACACATTCTTTGGCGTTCATCAGTTCGAGTTGACACGATTCGGATTTCAGTTCACTTATCAGAGATTTGATTCCCTGTAAAAAATTAACAAGAGATTAAAATACTACTTTCGCACATACAATAAAAATCAAAATTTATAATTTTTTTACGTATTACACCACAGGCAATATTATTACAGTGGGTATACTTCAAAAATCAAACAGCATTTTGTTCTAAAAGCCGCCGGCTTGATGGAGTGTAGATAGTCTCATAGGAAGTTAGTTTATAGTAGTCATACCATAAAAAGTTGTGAARCACTGGTTACAAGTTTACAACGATTGTATTATATAATTAACTACATTTTACAAATTGTCAGGTGAGYACACGTACTTGAGCAGCCGTGAAGTCGGTCTTGTCGAAATGTACGCAGTCCACAATTATAAGATTCGGTTTGTTCGGACGTTCCGAAGAAGACATCTCAGCAATGATCCGCTGTCGCATAAAGTCCACCGCTGGGAACAGCAGCCCACTACTGGGTCTGACCACCCAAATCACGTTACCCGAGTTCTAAAAAAAATTAGTTCGTCGTTCAAATTCAGCAGGTTAATAACTATAGGTTAATTAATACATTTTTTTTATGTGATAATGATTAATAATCGTATGTTGTAACAGAGTTTTGTCACAACGATTGGAAAATTCTGATTATTGTAGGTATACCTTGATGAAAAATTATTTAAAACCAAAAATTATTGGTTTTATTTCAAACGTTATTATTCGTTCATATATATATTTTTAAATTTTAAATGCTGACATTACATTTTATTGTGTAATTTTTATTTAATAAGATCTCAGGATTAATATTATAACGTAATAGTCTACGAGTTAAACATAAATGATAACTATTAAACACAGGAATAATTTGATTTATGACTATTAATATGTTTTTATTTATATGTGAGTTAAAAAAAAAATTGTACATCATAAACCTAAAACTAGGTTATTTTACTTGTAAACTTTACAGAATAAAGTTTTGTTGTAATAAATATAAACTAACCAAACTTTTAGGTTTCACTCACTATTCGAGTGTTGGACTAGGATTTCMTTTTTATTAWTTTTAGCGAATCGCTCGGGTTGATAAAATATACAATGATGGAAACGAAAAAGACGTGTTTTGTGTTTACTCACAGTTTCTTTTTCGATGGAAATCGACGGTCTTGCACTGCGATAGAGCACGCACAGCAAGTCGACACAGATTCCGAACAAAAGTCCCAGCTCGACGTCGAATATCAAACACGAGACGAACGCGGTGGAGAACGGTATTAGATCACGTCCTGTGTAATAGAACCCAACGTGAGTTTTGTTAGGCATTAGATAATAATATTATTGTGGTCTCAACGTGTATTGTAGGCATTGTTGAAGTTGTTCCGATTCAAACTATATTCAATATTGGCATGTATACATATTTCGTTAATATAAACAAATGTCGAATAGTAAAAAGTGTCCGACTACAAATACCTAGGTACCAATAACGTTTGAAATTAATATGAAATAATAAAATAAAATATGTATAGGTACGATACTATCTATGTTACATGCGTACACTGTTATAGAAATGTATTATATATTATTATGTTTAAAAGATAATAATTAGTCTTATGGAGGTATTAGTAATTAATATGCTGATATCATCGGTGGTATTRTGGTTATCACTAGAGAGATATTTCTAAAACTCSGAGGACGTAAATTATATCCACRTGATGGATCTAATGCAAAATGTATACCTATCCAACAAGTCTTAATTGAGACATCTGTGGTGGGAAGGGGAACACTAGAGTTTAAAGATATATTATCGAATTTGAAGATTAATATATATGTATATAATATTGAGTTAATTTCATGATATACTTTAAGTAAAATGTTGCTTGAACAATAAAAGAGCTAGTGACATAAGACATTGGAAATTGCTTTAATTCCTTCGGTGTACTTCTTTCAGACAATAGTACATCATATAATAAAAATTGTTAATAGGTCTTTAAACAGTTTAAACTCAAATATCAGTACCAAGATTTTAATTTTGTTGGTCTCCGTTAGGCTTTCAAATRTGGTCACAAGATTAAATTTGTATATTATATTATTTTTAATTTGTGAATTAAACGCTTTAGTTACAAAATGTTGATAACACGTTACCTWAAARTTGAATTGATGTATAATCTTAAACACGGTACAGAACAGTGGTTTTGGTTTTGATATTGACTAATTAAGTATTCAGACAGTTATGGATGTTACTAAATATTTTTTAACCAATTCAAAAATTTATATCTTTTTAATGRTTTTTATTTATAGCTTAAGTATAAAACCAAGATTGAATATTCCGGAAATCGTCAAAACTTTTTACCGTTTATATAATATTTATATTAAAATAATATGTTAAACGTCTTAAAACGTAAATACTTTTGCAGTTTGTGACACATGTGTAGATATATCACTCAAATTAATTATAAATAATTTATTTCTTAATTTGCAGATMGCTTTTTAAATAAATGTGGTTACTTAGTACTTACTATTGGTCTTCCATAATGAAATCACCATATCGTATCGAAACATTGAAGTCACCGCACATATRAGTACAGCAGACAAACTAGATTTGGGTATGTAATAGAGAAGTGGTGTCAAAAACAATAATGATAACATGCCCAGTATAGCTATAAATCGGTTTTCAAAACATTAATAATATTATGCGTAAACGGGTAGTTTTATAATTGGCAATTTACTTGTAAATATTGAGCTGAATGTTGTGCGGACACCGGTGGTATGATTAAGTGCAGACCTTGTCATACTTCCCGCAACGGGCATAGATCCCATAAACGAGCTGAAAATATTACAGAATCCCAACGCTATCATCTCTTGTGATGCATCAACTACTTTTCCACCACCTGTGGAAAAAAAGATAAGAGTTATTGTATTATGCGATTATTATAGATAAGGATGCTCTGTATTGTAGGTATGTGATGAATTATTAACCAGATTGTACGCACAACAGATATCTCTAAGATTTCCTCTAATCTATAAAATGTATTAGATACACAAGTAACTTCAATGCATATTTGAAATCAATTATTGAACAAATATGTAATACATTTTATCATAATTTAGCATTATTCTATATTATATAACATTGAAGTGTTGGTAAATAATATATTAATATCTATAACGTGTTATTTGAAATGTAAAGCTGAAAATTAAACTTGCATAGGTACACAACATATATGTGTAAAATTGTTTGCTTGATGCAGTAGAGTCGAGTAGGTAGCGTGATCAACAGGTAAACGTGACGACACTCAAAATAGYATAGCCAGTAAATACAAAAATATTTTATCTARGGAAGAATAAAAAACAATCCAACAAGGAAAACTTAACATCCACCCGTAGTGTTCTCATCAGGGTTAGCCTAACACAGTGTATAATATATTAGGTATTCTATAAAAATATCAAAAATTTGATTAACTTACTGAATGCCTTGGCGACCGACACTGTGCTCAAAATCGATACCAACGGTACAACTATCGCACCAGGCCATAACCTGGACAAACMTTCCAAAAAGGTAAACTTCTCGTCTTCGTCTTCGTAGTCCATGAACGGAAACCGAAATTGTGGTATGCCACTAGCTATCGTACCTAAAAATATAGAAAACGGTGCACGGTAATACAAAATTAATATATTTTATCTATTATTGAAAATAAATATTTTACTGTGAGTGCTGTGCATTACCTGTCAATACTATTGGTGATTGGCCTTGTCTGATTGAAAAATATGCGATTATCGACGATACGATGACCACGAGAACATTACTTCCGGTTGTCAATAAAAACAATATCACCGAATACGATTTTGCTTTCATTCCTTTAGCGTTGACTCTTATGGATTTCAAGCTCTACAAACGAGGCGCAATGTTTAAACTGAAGTTTGGTTAACATTATTCATCTGTCATTGTACACTCACCTTCAGTCCTATCAGCACAACGATACATATCAGTCCCATAGCGGTGTCTGGTAATCGATAATGTTCAATGTGTTCAACAAACTTTATCCACATTTCCATGCAGTTTTTGGCCTCATAAGAAATTCCGAACAATCCTTTCAACTGTGAGGAAGCCATAATAATAGCTGCAGCCGATGTAAACCCACCCGTTACCGGCATTGATACGAACTCCACGACGAATCCTACATYGGATGAGAAGAAAAGAACCAATTTAGATGGTATCTGCTGTAGTGTGAATCAAAGTTATGTTGGAATTGATAAGTTCAGTAAATAAAACAACCATCCACACTAGATGTTCGACCAATGAAAGGACTACGTGAAACTTTTGTGAATAATATAGGTACTGAGCATCAATATTCAAAAATAAATATAAAACTAATTAGTTTGAATCCAGGAATATACTTGAACGGTATTTTATACGTTGAAAATTGACATTTATATAAGAATAGTCAGCATTGATTTATGATATTTGTTTTTTAAATCATCGTTACATCTAGGCRCATAAAATTACATTTGCCTCATGTCCAGACTGTTGTCTGTATGACATTTTTATAATACAATTTGCTATCTACTACGATTATTTTTTATAACATTTTGTTCCCTCTATAAATATTAAGAATTTTATTTTAATTTAGTTTATGC